TAAGATGCATAAATTAATTTAAAATTCGGATAGTATGAAAAGAAATCTTAATTTGAACTGATGATAATGGCTGTAAATTATTTTTCGCTCACTATATGATGTTAATAATAATTTGGAAATATATTAAAATAATAATGAGTATTGTGCACTGGAAAAACAATAACAATCAATCGAAATTGAAATCTAATAGATAATTCCCTGAGACATATCCTATAATAAAATAAAGGATTTCAAAAAAACAATAAAAAAACATTTAAGATACTTCTTTCAAAAAATTATATAAATGATAGAAACTTGCTTAAATTGTTTAAAAGGCTTTTGAAGACAAAGATTGTCTTATGAGGAATATGATGAAATAAAAATTTCTGGTGATATTATAAAATTGAATAACAAAGTTATCATAAAAAATGAAGATATAATTATATTGGTGAAATATGAAAAATTTGTACTATTTTAGAACCTAGTACACAGTCATAAGCAAAGAGCTTAAAGATGGATTGGAAATTAAGAATTATTCTCAACTAATACTAATGATTATGTATTAGCCTAGACAATCATAAAGAAATATCAAGTTGTTCATTGTGAGGAATTTTTTAACACATAAAACTTGGACTATTACATATTATTATCGTATAGAATGGGATGTAGAAACTAGAATAGTGATTGAAAAAAGAGCTTTGAATTGATGACTTTTACTTTTTATTTATTTTATATTAATTAAGTTTTATTTATCGAATAATAGTCTTTTCAAAAAATTCATGAAAATTAACTAACCCAAATTTAAAATGAGAAAGCCTATTGGACTCACTTTAGATTTCCTGGATACACAATAATCGTAAAAAGAATAGACGCCAAAAGTACTTAATTCAAAATCAATCAGGTTCAAGAAATCGACACATTTGAAGAATTTTGCAGCTAAATTCCAGAGAATTTATAACAACAAGAATTAAACTTCTCTAAATAATCTTAATCCTTTTAATCTTAATAAATCAAATCCAACAGTTAAGAGGAGTCAATCTGTTCTAATTTAAAGCAATCAATAATAAGTATTAATTTATTATAAATATCATATTTAGATGAAGAAAAAGATAATTCATAAATATAATATATTGTCTTTGAAGAGTTTCATCCTCAAAGTACCAT